CGTGAAAACCTGGTTTCACGTGTTTTTAAATGCAATTTAGCAACGATTTCAACCCTAATTTTTGGATAATTCGCAGATATCCTTCATCTGCACACCTTTCACAAGACTTTTAGACTAGGAAAATCAAAAACTTGTTAAATAAAAGATTTTTTTGACTTACTTTTATTACGTAACTATTTTTAATTTTTCTTTTTACAAAATTATTTAAACACGGCAATTTTTTGTTTTTAATACTGTTTACTAAATAAACAAAGGAGAAAATCATTATATATGAATAATTTGTAATACTATTTAAAAAACTAATAAATAACTTACAATAATGACAATTTACCTATTTGAAAGTGTTCATTCAATTTCAAAAGATATGACGAGGCGAATGTTAAATTTTGTTCATTCATAATCAAGATTTTTTAAATTAATATTTCTAGTACCACTGAAATGAGTATGCTGTAAAAGGTCATTTCGTTCGTAAAATTATTCATTTGAACAATACCTATCTGGTATCGCTCTCGCAAAAGTACTTTTTTTTAAGAAAATGTATGATACCCAAATGAACTTTATGTGCTAGATTAATTGCAGCCCTTTGTAAACTGAATGGTAATACAATTCGATTTTCTCTTAAAATAACATCATTACTACTGATTAATTAATCTTTTATTTTATAATATACACTTGATTCTGGTATTATCCATACATTGTCACAATAGCTTCCTTTAAAAGATTCAGAGTTGAGTCTTTCTTTGTGGCTTTTTGCACTTGTTCTAAAGTCATGATTTTTGGAATTGCGTTAAGTATACAAAAATTTAAATATTTATCAACTTCACCATAATCCAAGTTCTTGATAGTTGGCACAGGATGTCTTAATAAAATTTGATGTTGAATATTTAAATTGTATGGTTGAATTCTTAGAAGTAATTTTTCAATCCTAGCATTTGGTGGATTTATTAAATTTTCAATAATTTTTACAATCTAGAGTTTCTTTTTTAAGCTGACTGTATCTTTTTTGTGTTCGCATTAGCGTCGTGCTTGCCCAAGCTATAATATTAATTTGTTGTTTTGCATACAAGTGTGTTACCTTTTCCATGCCAAGGTAAGATAATTTTGTGTTGTCACTGAGCTGTTGTTTAAGATTGTTAAAAATTTTATCGTGATCTCCTGTCCAATTCTAAACTGATTTTTTTTTGTTAAATTTCTTAAGGGATGAGTATTTTCAGATAAATTTGGTAAAAACTTCCAATGTAACCAATCATTCCAAGAAAGCTTCTTACTTCGGCGGCATTTTCAAGTGGTTTTAAATTTATAATGCTATTGCTTTTGTCTGAATCAGGATGTACATCTTTCTTTGAAAACATATACCTGAAAATTTTAATTTTTGTTACACTGAAAACACGTTTTCTTTTGTTAATTGTTAAGTTATTCTTTACCAGTGTTTACAATACTTGTAATGCTGCATCATGCTCTTGTTTATTTTTCCCATGTACCAAAATATCGTCACTTATGTTAATGACGTTTGGTATATTTTGTAAAAGTTGACTGATTCTGTTCTGAAAAATCTAAGCGGCTGAATTTATACCAAAAGTTAGTCTTTTGTATCTAAATAGACCTACATATGTAGAGAAAGTTGTGGTATATCTTATGTCTTCATGTAATGTTAGTTGATGATAACGATCTTTCAAGTCGGTTTTGCTAAACATTGTTGAGCCATTCAGTTGTGTTATGACTTCGTGAACTGTAGGTGTTAAAGGTTTCTTTCACGCATGATTGTATTATTTAAATGTTTCATGTCAACGCAAATACGAATTAAATTTGAATTGCCTTTTCTGGGAATAATAACAATTGGAGATACTTATGGTGTTAGTGTAGTTTCAACTTTTTCAATTATAGCTTATTGTTCTAGTCTCAATAACTCATCTTCAACTAATTTTTTTTAAATGAAAAGGGACTCGTTTGTGTTTTTGACTAATCGGTTTAATATTTTTATTGATATGGTTTGATTTTGGTATCTTCTAAATTTCCTACTCCTTCGCAAATTCTTGCATAATGTTTTTGTACATATGTTAAATCTATGTTTAGGCTCACAAGATTTGTCGATATTGTAAAAATGTTTAGATTTTTTGACGACTTAAAGCTTAATAATGATTCACAAATACCCTTTATTACATTAATTTCAGTTAACCTTAATGTTATCGTTTTGTTTTTATATTTCAACACAGCAGAAAATTTTCCTAAAACATCTAAATGCTGGGTTTGTTTGAATCTGGTCTCAAATCTTTATTCAATGTTACCTTGTATGCATATTCACTAATTACGTTAACAAATGTTCCTATATCGATTATGAATCAAGACTTAATTTTTAAATGGACCTTGTTAGAACATACGTAATCCTCAAATGTAGCATCGTACTACAGATGGCGCTCACCACGCCATTTGTAGTATTTTCTAAAACGCGCTGTTAAGACAGCAGGTAAAGGTTGGTCTATGTTCTGTCGGAGTTGCCTGCGACGCGCTGATGAGATCCAAAAAGATCGAAGTTTCGACAGAATACAGACCACTTCGAATTATTTTGTAAGACTTATTATTCACATCTTAAGTAATTTTGGGTAATCAGAAGATATTGTTTGTCTTAAATTGAAATGAACATTCTGAACTATCATCATCTATATTTGTATAATTCACTAGCCTGTTATCTGTTTTTACTTTGACTTTCTTGTTGAATTATCTGTGGATTTGTTATGCTTTGTATCTGTTGTTGACTACCTTGTTGAATGTGTTTTATTTGAGTGTTCTGTTGTTGTTGATTGTTCTGGTGTTGCATACTCCTTTGTTTTTGAATACATACTCGTGCAAAATGACCTTTCTTTGAACAATAATGATAAATAATGTTGAATGCTGGACACGATTTTTTTTCCTTCGTGGTGCCATAAATTTCCACAATTTTTACACCTTTTGCGGTTGTTCTTTGTTGAACAATCGTTTGATTTACTTGTTTTTCTGTAATTTCATAAAGTTTTGATTGAGCTAATATAATTGAGGTAACGATGGCTTATCAGTCATAGCATATCGTTGTAGCTTTAAAGAAGTTGTTCCTTGAATGATTTGTGATTTAACTTCTCTTTTTTTATCAGAAAAGCTGCAGTCGCTACTTAGTTTTAACAATTTCGCATAAGTAGTATTCATCAACTGTTTCACCCATTCGTTGTTTACCTTGACAAAAATTGTAAATTTCAAATTCTATGTTAATCTTTGGTATTTAATTTTAATTTGGCCTTTTCATATTCTAACATTACAACATCTCCTGTTGGTTGTTGAGTACATGATGCATCTGCTTTCCTGTCGTCGTTTGTTGCACCTGAGGCATTAAAAAAATGTTAAAACGCTTGATCCATTTTTGCCATCGCACGTCCACGTTTCCAAATGCATGTTAATTGTTTTCTTTTAAATCCTCGTCGTCAAAATGTACTATCCAGCAAGGAATAGATTACTCAGTCTTAACTATTTATTTATAAAGTCAATAGAAATAACACAAAAAAAAATACAAACTTGGAACTTGATACACACGCAAAACACTCGCCAAGCCAGAGTACCTTAATCTCCCAACTTGATCTCTACTCCTATTTTCTGCTCTCCTATCATGCACATATCATATGAATAAACTGTATTACTACACTAACTCCGATGGAAGTATCTTTTTTTAAACTTAGTATTCGTTCATATACTTTTCGGTACCTTTTATCCAAATTTTGTTTAAAAAGAAAATGTGAAATTATCCATTACATTTTTCGTATCTCTTTTATAATTTCATTGCTAGAAAGTCATAAGAATTCTTATTAAAATAAGAAACCTGGATATTTCTACACTAAATATTTAAGGGTCATTACTTTTTTACAAAATAAACATTAAAACTTAGCAAGAAGGGGAGAATAGATCAATATTCAATTAATTTTGCAAAATGTGGTGAATTCGATTTCGATTATTTATGAAAAAATAACTTTACCGGATAGCTAATTAATATTCTAAGTATTACGGCCTTTTTTGCTCGCCTATCAACACTTACCGATACTTTTTGGAACATGACATTACTTGATCAGATAATACCCCAACAACTAACCTGTCACGTGTTATATCTAACCTACAGTTGGTAATCAGTTTAAGTTATTTATGCCATCAACACTTTTAAAGCGCACGAATTTGTACGACAAGTTCACCATTTAATTTTAGAAATACTAATTAAACAATAGTGTAGGAATTAAATCCAATCCAACGCTTTTTTATGTAATACTTAATTTTATTTAAAATTCCTCTCAACCAGGATAGTTACTAAATACTCAATATGTTCACCATGCTATTTAATTTATGACTTAATTTTTTTTAAATATCCCTCTTCCAACTAGAACAGCTACCAGATACGCAATATGTTCACCATGTTTTAAATTTATGACTTCAATAAATTTACAAAAAAATAATTTCTTGCTATTTTTCAGGAAAGCACGATAAAATTCCATGTGGTTGGTTTAAAGTGCAGCTTCTGCGGTTCATATAATACATGTAGATCCGAAGGTCCAAGTCCTCCCGTTACTGGACGTAAGATCAGTTACAATATATCAAGAGCAACTCAGGTAAAACAATTTTTTGCTAAAATTTTAGGCCAGGCTGCACAAACCAATCAAAATTTACATCAGGAAAACGAAGAAGAAGCCACATCAGCCAGTCAAAATATTAATGAAGGTCAGAGCTCATCGTCGACCGACGAAAATCAATCAGAAACGCAAAGGTCATCTCAACAATAAATTTTAATTGTTGAGATTGAAATACGTATTTTTACTTATGATTGCAAAGTTATATTAGATGTTGTGTAATAGAATTTTTATTAATTTTTTTCTTAATTTATTGCTAATATAACAAATACCTATGTATATCTGATTATCATTAGAAATAAGCTGTTAGATTGACCTTGTACTACAAGCTTTATAAAACTATAAGTATCTATTTTGTCAAAACTTAATGTCCAAAAGTAAATTACTCCGATTAAACTGAAATGTGTATTATACTTTTCGTTTATCTAATGTTTGGTGTGTTTATCGAAGATGTTTTTTTATTATATTGTAGCTCCATTTGAAATACGATATTAAACACAGTTTTAGCTACAAATAATTTAATTGACCACCATAACGATTTCACAGTGTGACTTTTTCAGATGGAAGAATACTAATCCTTAACTAATAACAAAATCATTTGTGTACTACCTTATGATAAATAAAGGTGGGGTTGCGAATCGTTACAAAATTAGCAAAGCAAACTTAAAATTTTAAAAAACAGTTACAGATTAATATAAATGATGAAAAGCGAAAAATTATTAATATCAATTTAATCGTTGACAATTAAGCTTAATATATTTATTTCTAAACTCTAGCCGATTTAGTTTTATCCCTTCGTGTTAAGTATAAAATTACTAAATCGTTTTTAAAACCAGGTGATTGTTGTAGTGAATGTTTCGCGAAGGTGGAATTGGTAATATAGTTTATACAGCCCATTGTATGTTGTTTATTACGCCATTTAAGGTATTTACCTGTTTGGCCCGTGTATTTTTTATTACAAGAACCACATTTAAATTTGTAAACGCCTGATTTTTTTTGTTTATTAATGGCTTTCTTAACGAATTGTTAGTTTTAAAATTATTAGCGATAGGGTAATTGTAAAAGATATTGAATTAAATTATAAAAACGCAAAGTGGCGATTTTGCACATTCTAGTACCAACAATGTGAACGGGGCCCCCTCTCATGGCTTCAGGTGTTGAGGGTAGGAACGAGCACTCCATATAATATATTACTTAAGGGGATTCAGTAGTACTCGCGCCGTAGAGTAAAAACATGCTTATCTATTCTGCATAACATGAGTTTAATATTTGANCAGGTATCGTATGGGATGCTGAGGGATGAGGAACAAATAAAAGGATTTACGGCAATTACAATTATTCTCCAACTAACCCTATTTATTACTGACCGTTTCAATTGAAACCATGACTTTAGGACATATGTGTAATTGTGTAAATTGAACAAAAATATAGGTGTGTTCTTAGAAGAGAAAACGTCTAATAATTTTAAAAAATATATATACATACATATATATATGTATAATAATCATACGATCCATTTATGTTATATGTATGATGAATTAGTTAGGTGAATCAACCAGTTAATATCGATATTGTTATAAAAATATTTATCGTGGGCGAACAACAGACTGATAAGCAATTTGGATTCCAACCTGGCTAATGCACCGAAAGTGCAAAGTGAAGCAAACTGTTAGCAGACCCGAAACACTTTATGTTCTAGGCACTGGAGCGGTATTGTTGTTAAGCAAAAACAAGTGAGATGTGTTAAAAAACTAACCTTGAGAAAGCCCGGCAACTTGGGCAAAACGATGGCGTTATTTTTTGAATAAAAATTTTTAAACCCTCCGTCCCTTTTGAATTTGATAGTTGCGAAAATTGCGGTATCTGGATTTATTTGGAGAAATTCTGGGAAATCAACCAAAATGTGCGTTCTTTTGCAAATCACACCATGAGTCGAGTATTCGCACATAAAAGTGGATCGAGTCAAACAGCCACTAGAACCCTGGTATGATGAACTATATGAAGTCATCAAGAAAATCTTATACTATGTGTTTCTGTCAGTGTCGACAGAAATATTAAACCCAGCATTAGTAGAAAATGTCATACTCACTCCAACAATGTCAACTATTCTCGTCAGAGGTCAATATCTAGTGGGAATTCCTCACCATGGTTTCCGTATCTTCGCGTATAGCAGTGGTTTATCATTCAGCAGCCTTGCCAAGCTATTCGAATAGAAAAATAATCCAATTCGTGACAGTTGACAAAATTAATTGCCACTCAAGGGAGACTACTGTTAGTTAGCGAGGACTTGCTTGACGATCTCACAGCGATATGACGGACCAATTAAAAAAATTATCTGGAGTTCAAGCTAATAAGTTAGTAACCAGTACCAACCATAAACACCGCCAAATACTATATCAAGTCATATAAATATTAGGTTTTTGAATTAAATGTTTATTATTAGCTATTTATTTAAACGTTTATTAGCTAAGTGGTACAGTAGTAAATTGTGTCTTAATCAATTCCCTGGTCGTACTACTCTCCGATTCCCGTCTCGGTTGATTGTTCGGTCCCGTTCGGCTATCCTGACGTCACGCGATTGGCGCTGTGGTAGTGGTAGCTGCTATTATCATTATTATCGTATCCGCTTACATAAATATGACTTCAGATCATTATATAAGTTTAATTTTTCATCTTGTTTTCCCGTGTCAGTTATGTTACTTCAGTCTTTTCGCGTTAAAAAATGTTAATCCGTTCCTAGCGCTTTCACGCGAGACCTTTAAGTAGAGGGCGTAACAGAAATAAGTGCTGAATTTTGTAGGATGTAAACTAAACAATCGCACGGTGTGTTCAGCAGCATGAGTAAGGGCAAAAGATTTTTATAAGAAAATCAATAACTTACAATCCAAAGCCGATCTTGTGCATCAATTGGCAACATAGATGTTTACCAAATAGCGAAGTGCGATAAAAACTCTGCAGCTACATGGATGGAGAATGCAAACATTAAGACACTTGAGTTTGTGTAGGGTTAATTCAATGTATTAGTGAATTAATTTTACACACTACAGATAACCTCAAATTAATAAGGAAAAATAAGCTAAGAGTACTGGTGCGTAAAATCAGGGGCCCGGGCTTAATTCCCGGCAAGGGAGTGTCAGCAGCAACAATTTTTCCTCATTAATTTGAGGTTATCTGCAGTAGATAAAATTAATTAACTTATACAATGTAAACATTACCTACCGATAATCGAACGTCTAAGATGAACATAAACAATTTAGTCTTACACATAACGTTTAGATTAAATGAATTTAATAATAATAATTAAAGGTAACACTACACTAGTAAATGTATGAACGCCAAAGAAAAAAATGCAAGTTCCGCAAGCATTAGTTGCTAAATGATTATCACCTGGATAATTGTAATTTTATTAAGGCAAATTTCCATTGAGTATTGACTAGTAAATGATGAACGCCAAACAAAAAATGCAAGTTCCGCAAGCATTAGTTGCTAAACGATTATCACCTGGATAATTGTAATTTTATTAAGGCAAATTTCCATTGAGTATTGCCAAGGCGCGTAACCTTTTTGCCGGTGGTTGTAAGTAAACTTACCAAAAAGTCTCAAAAAATTTCATAGCGTACATTTATCGATAACAGTAAGTGATTATTGTGAGGATTTTGTCTCTACAGCACCAATACAGTTCAAACCCGTAAATACGTATCATACCACATTATTGTAATAACAACTGCTCTAGAGTGACTAACCTACATTAAACGTTTAAAGAATAAACGCCTACAAGAAATTAGTTGTTAACGTGAACACTGAATCACATTTAATCTAATTTAATAAATAAGCAATAGATGAGTAAGAAAATACAAAACAAATACTACACTGATGCTGGAAATCACCAGCTGATTGAGTGCAGCGTTGCGGGCCGTGTTTCATAACCAGGGCTGGAATTGAATTTACCTATACTTTTAACTACGTTTTTCTTGAAAACGGTGAAATTTAGGGCACACAAATATTTACTTAATTTTAATGTTTTATTGTGCTCCATAATCTGCAAGCTCGGCACTTATTTCTGTTACACAATGCATATATGTACGCATCAACCATAGGAGAAGTTTTCAGTATTTTTGTTAATTTTCATTATTAATTATTGTCCAGCTGATTGGTAAGCTGCAAATATGTGATTCAGTTTATACTATAATTTTTGTCGTGTCTGCCACGAAGACAACAAGTTTGATAAAAATATCAGGATATAATATTAATTTACTAACTGTTCTATCCAGCAAAGAATAGATTATTCAGTCTTCACTATTTATTTATGAAGTTAACAGAAATAACACATAACAAGATACAAACTTAGAACTTGATATACACGCATAACGCATCAGAAACACTAGATCGCTGTTCTTTTTCATTTAACATATATGTTCACATAATAAAGATTTCTTTACTGTCTTCAACAGTCGTTCTACCATCCCATTTGCTTCTGACCAATATGGTTTGATCAAAATATGTTTAATATACCGTAGTCTTTAAAATAATTCCTCAGTTCCATGCTGTTAAAAGGAGGGTCATTATCTGATTTTATAGACTTTGGAAAACCAAATGTTGTAAATATTTTTTTTAATGTTGCTTGAATCTTATCAAAAGATATTGATTTAACAATTTCAATAATTGGGTATCTGGAATATACATCTATTATTTGAATAAATATTTCTTGTTAGGAAAAGGTCCGGCAAAGTCAATCTCAATGCGTTGAAAAAAATAATATGGTATAGAATTAGAAAAGAAAAAGTAGGGAAAGGCCGAATATAAAGATAGTTGACGAAAAATTAGAAGTGGCTGATTTTAGGTATCTAGGAAGTCAGATAAGTTAGAACGGAAGGAATATTAGGGATGTAAAGCAGAGGATAGCGCAAGATCGAGTCGCCTTCAATAAAAAGAAATCACTTCTACGCTCGTGAACGGTTTATTTAGAAATTCAAAAAAGGTTGTTAAAGGTGTATGTTTGGAGCACGGCGCTGTACGAGTGTGAAACGTGGACAGTGAGCGCAGCGGAAAAGAAAAGATTAAAAGCGTTTGAAATGTGGTGTTACAGGCGAATGATGAGGATACCGTGGATAGAAAAGGTTAGAAATGAAGAGGTATTAGAAAGAGGAAGAGAACAGAGGACTGGAAGTCAATAAGAAATAGGCGAGATAGGTTAGTAGGACACCTTCCCAGGCATGAAGGTCTAGTCAGAGACATATTAGAGGCAGAAACGGAAGTTAGGAGGGGTAGAGGTAGACCTAGATTAGATTACTGTTCGCAAATAGTTAAAGATATGAGTTGTTCTAGTTTTAGGGAAATGCGAAGATTAGCTCAGGATAGGAAAGAGTGGAGGTGCGTGTCCAACCAGTCTTAGGACTGATGACCTTATGATGATGATGATGATGATGATGGAAAGAACGAAGATTCAGTTCTCTTACTTTTGCAGGCATTTGTTTGCTTTCCAATGGCAGGTCTCCAGGGTAGATCGTTGAAAAAGTCTTCGCATTCTTCGCAATTTGATCCTTTTGTGTTATGAGTACACTCGCATCTACCATGTACCATGTCCGGTTTAGTTTCCATTCCCGGTAAGGGCAAACAGCGGTTGGCATGACCGTAACAAGAACAGGAACCCCGTACTACCATATCGGTTACTGCGTAGTAGTACTTTTCCTAAAATTAAGACAATGTAAATGCTATCTGTTATGCTACAAATTTGATGTAAAAACCTGTATTTCTTCGCGTGGATCCAGCAAATCGTCACCTAGAGTATGGAGTTTTACAAATCGGATCCGAAGATTAGTAACTTTTAGTAAGTTTTGAACTTCTTCGGAATAGGGATTGTCGATATGCATATTAGGTGGAAGAACTCTAAAAATAAGTTCTCCGTTTGTCGAGGGTGCCACATTTGAATATCGGGATTCGCAAATAACGTCTGTTAGATTTTGCGAATATCTTTCTGGAATTCCTGGAAAACTGTCCGCACATTTATGCGCAAAATACCGATATACCTAAAAATAATTTAGAAAACGAGTAGGTACAACGGTTTAAAAAACTTGTACATAGAAAAAATGCTGGCAATGTAAGTAATATCAGCATTTTTTACAATCTTTTTGTTGTACTTTAAGTGCACATTTAGTAGAAATACAATCCATGTGCATACCTTCCATGTTTTTCCGAAGTCGTAAGACCTTTCTATGTACATAGCTGCTGGTCTAAACGTTTTAAAAGTCATAATTAAATGGGTAAAGTGAAACTCCTTTTCTAGATCAAGTTGAATCGAAACATTTTCTTTGCCATTTTCTGACTGCCACCACGACTTTAGTTTTGTTCTAAAATTTATAAAGATATCAAAAGAAAGTTTCTAAAAGTTGTAGAGGTCGTACCCTGGGTAGTATCTATAAACAACGTTTTGTATACTGTGGTTTAAATGTGGTTTCATGATTTTGGATGGACGTGAATCGCACCAAAAGCATTTCTTTCGGTCTTCCAAGTGAGACACAATACAATATCGTTGTTGCTCATAAAGACCGCAAGTTGAAGACGCGCTAAGTTGTTTCTCTCTACCTATAAGTAAATTACCTGTGGCTGGGTAACACGAACTTTGCTCACATGGATGGGGTTCTACAGGGACATATCCTATAAAAAATAAAATTGACATTTGACGAGAAATCAAAGGATTCTGATAAGTATTATATCGGAAATCGTTCAGATGGTTTACATTTATTTTAAGTTCTAAAATAATCTACAATATGCATATTACGTAAGACGTCTCTAATAATATATCACAAGAAGAGATAAGAGAGTAGTTCCTATTATAATAATTCTTAGGCTAATCGTTAGATTTGTTCATAATTATGACCCAAGGAGCAGTTTAGCAATTATGTTGTGTGATAAAAAAATATATACAATATAACATTTACATGTAATAATAAATGTATTAAGTAATTGGTTTTTATTTTAATATATGTACATATT